GCACACACACACACACACACACACACACACATTTGCATTCACACACTCAGAATAACCTAGTATTGACATGACAAAGCACGCCAAGTAAACTTGTATTTTTTATTATTTAACGTATTAAAAAAAATTACTTACCGGTCTTGTTGATAGATAGAACATGAGCCTCGATCTCTACCCATTGATTTGTTGCTTTCACGTTATGAATCTGAAGTTGGTAAGCTGAAATAACATGAAAGAAAGGAAAGCTTGACGATAGTAAAAGTATTCCGCAAAACAGGCTTTTACTGTTACCTTTTCACTTTTCAGATGAACGATTTTCACGTGGGAAAGTAAGAGATACTGTCGCCAAAAAATTGACCAAAGGCAAATAGTAAAAGGTCCGTTAAATATTTTAAAGGTGTGGTTGTAATCTATATATATATACAAAGCACACATAAAATCTTAGCTATATTATGTAATTTTTAGAAAGATGTAATCCTCAAGATGAACGCCCTGTTACAAACTTCAAAAATAATATGATGGCAAATAAATAAAAAAAAAACTAAAGACAACACCAACCCCCCCCCCCAATAATGATAACATTTATTGCGAATTGTTTTACACACTTTAGATCATTCAGCGGGCTGAGGGAGACACAATGTCCTAGCAGACAAATGGGGATTTTAGATTAATGAAGCGAGCTGACAAGATGAGTAACCTCTCGCAATCCATAAATAGAGGTGTTGTCCGAAAGTATGACACATCAAATTCATGTATCATTTCATATGATCAATTGTACAAACCCACTGCTCAAACTTTTAGTACCTATACGTGTTCATAGGTTTTAAAACCGAGAAATGACTGATGTCGTTGTTGCAGCAACAGCAGCAACAACAACAACAACAACAACAACAACAGCAGCAACAGCAACAACAACTCACGGTTTCCACGTGTGGCGATAAAGTGCCTATCGATATAATATACCACAAACGCCGGAGACCAGGCCAAAGACGAGAAGTCAAACGCTATGAGGCGACACTAACGTACAGCTAAAACAGCATCAGTGTGACGGTTATTACCAACCCCACCTCTACTGTCACGAGTATAGGTTCAACAATTGCAGCAACAACAGCGGCACCCCCCAAAAACAAAAACAAAAACAAAAACAACAGCAACAAAAAATAAACAAAACAAAAATAAATTACTTAAAAAAACCCACCAACAAACAAACAAACACAAAAAACCAACAACAACGACATCAGCAGTATATCTAGAACAGCAACGGGGTTGACACCATCATCAATATCAACAAAAGCAGCTAGCAACAACAACAACAACAACGACAACAACAACAACAACAACAACAACAACAACAACAGTAACAACAACAACAGTAACAACAACAGCAGCAACAGCAACAACAA